GCTTCACACCAGAGACAATTGCAAAGGCATCCGAGGTCTCTCCACTCAGCTGCACCCTCGCTCGCATACCACTGCGCAGACATTCAATTAAACTTACAAACTTACGCGGGCAACCAAAATTACCCAACACCAGCCACAATGGCTCGCGGTTCACCGCATCAAATGATTTGGTGAAATCAACAAAAAGCGAGTACAATGGCTGGTGTCGTTGTCTGCACTTCTCTTGCAACTGACAAGCCGCAAACACCATATCCATAGTGCAGCGACCCGAACGGAATTCACATTGCTCTTCCGCCACGTTAGGTTCCACAACTTGACTGGCCAGGCGGTTGAGCAGGATTCGGGCAATCACCCTGCCCACACAACTCTACAAGTTGTTGCCACGATAAGTCGTGCAACATTGCTTGCTACCTTTGCCCTTGTATAGTGGTAGCACAAGGGCATCCTTCAGCTCAGCAGGCACCTCCTCCTCAATCCATACACGTTGCTCCAGGTGGTGCAGCGCAGTCACCAACGCGGGTCCGCGGTGTTTCAATACTTCAGGCGGGATCCCGTCGGCTCCGGCACATTTGCCGTTTCGCAGCTGAGCAAGTGCTCGCTGCGTCTCATCCAGTGTCGGCTTATCCGCTAGATTCACCTTGACATCGTGCTGTCTCAGGCCGTTCAATGTAGGCCAGTCGAGCTCTGAACGGTTGTTCAAGAGACAGTTAATGTGTTTCCGCCAGCTCTGCATTATGTCTGCAGTGTGCGTGCAGGTAGTGTCTGAACTACCATCGATCAGTGTCCTCAGAGGCTCCAATCTCGGTCCATACACCGCATTCAAGGAGTCAAAGAATTCCTTGTGTTGACAGCGTTCGGCGTAGTATTCCATCTGCTTCGCCTTCTCCGTCCAACATGCAATTTTTATGCGACAGTGCTCTCGGTTCAGTCGTCGTCGAAGTTTGCGAAACGGACTCCTCTTCCCTAAGTCACTGGGATCTGCAACATGTGCAGCAAATGCTGCATTTTTCTCTGGCACCAATGCGCTGGTCGTCGCATTGTTCTCGTCAAAACAATCAGGCCGCTTACGGTTTGCGTGCTCGATGGTCTCCTCCGCAGCAGCTGTCACCTGATGGCGAATGTGGTGCCACAGGTCGCCCACTGTGGCTATGCAGTCCACATCACCACACAGGCGTGCAGCCATCGCCTTCTCCAGCTCTGTACGTTTCGCAGCAGTACCGAGGGAGAGCATGTTAAATTTACGCCGATTCACGGCGGCAGTGCAATACATAGATTTACGAAAACATATGTATAGTTTGGTTCGCACCAGTTTGTGATCTGTGCCACACTCAGCCCCACGCAGTACACGTGTCATGCGCACTTCACGCATATCACGCTGACGTACGATGACATAGTCGAGCAGGTGAGCGGGACCACTCCGTGGGTGCGTCCAAGTTGCCATATCAATCGCACTCAGTGCAAACCGAGTGTTCGTGACCGTCAGGTCGTGAGTGGCACACAGTGAGAGCAGCCTGTCACCGTTCGCATTCGCTGAACCAATGCCATGCGCACCGATGACATCTGTCCACGCTGATGCATCACGCTCAACACGCGCGTTGAAATCACCCAGCAGAAATAGTCGGTCGCACCTCGGCACAGACCGTATCACGGAGGATAGCTGAGTGTAGAATTGATCACGCCTGTCATCAGGATAACACATAGTCGGACCGTACGTGCTTGTAAAAGTAGCAAACTTACCTCTTCCGAATCGTAGGCGAACATTCATCAGTCGCGCGCTGATGCCCGTTGGTTCACCCACCAGCTGGCCATGGAGGCGATCAGATATTGCAAATCCGACCCCATGTTCACGTGGTGCTGAGGCGGTGTTGCCCACCCGGTGGAATGTGTAGCCAGCAGGTGCGTCATGCAACTTACCATGCTCAGCGAGCCGAGTTTCACTGAGCGCCGCAATATCAATGTTGTAGCGCGCCAGCTCCATCGCGACCAGTGCAGTGCGTCGCTCCGGGCGCTCGCTGGAGTTCCGGTCCAGTAGTGTGCGCACTTTCCAGCACCCGATGCTGGGTGCTTTGCGCGCAGGCATACGATTGCATTGGTGGGCAATCGCACGCGAGGTGGTCGTTGTGCTTCGGAGGTTTGCTTGAGGGACTCCACCCGGAGCCTTTGGCTCAATAGCCTGACCCACAAGGCAGTGGGCAGCAGATCCAGCTCGGGAATATGATTGCAGAGACAGATTGGGATCTGCTTGACGGCCGTCACACGCAGCCTTGGAGGTACTGGAACAATTATTATATGTTTTGCGACCGTAGTAGGATACGCACCTGCGACCACGGCCAGACGCAGGTGGGTTTTTGGCGGGTTTGCACCAATTTGACCAGGGGTTGCCTGGCTTGAGGCGGGCAGTAGCAAACTATTGAACACCCGGAGGTGTCCTTCCACCGTCAGAGACAACGCGTGGCACTCGTGCTCTACGCCAATCGAGCAGTGAGATTATAACCCGTAAACCTGTTGTCTCCCATGGCTAGGTTTTACGGGAAGAGGGCCATCGACCACTTCCTGACCTCCGAAGAGGATGGACTAGCATACTGCCAGGGCGCCCACACCTGACAGGAGAACGACTCGGGTCCTCAGCCAAAGCCTTCGATTAAATGAACACCCGAAAGGCAGCGGGTCTAGCACATGGTCAGTTAGCCAACTCATGCGGATTGGTGTCCTGGATCTTAGCAGGGAGGAGGGCGAAACCCAAATCCCACCCAGCGGTCGCCACGTGGAGGCGCCCAGGACATGAGACGATGGCGCAACAGTAGCAGCAGCGGGTAGACCATCTGTCAGGATCTAGCCACCACCAGTTTCAGCGCACCATAGGCTCTCCCGCCGGAATATATATATATATATATATATATATATATATATATATATATATATCCTTGGCGGCATCCAGTTTCGGATTTGTTTGCCACTGTGGCCAGCCACAGGACGTCTGCGCCTACAGAGAGACCACGGTTGGCTTGCGCTGCACCACGCACAGTTCCATCCACATACTTCATATCCAGTTAAAACAGAAGGAATAAGACCGGGAGGCATGTGGATGGGAGCCACGTTTCACCAACGGAGCCGGCCCACACTCCTTCACAGGCAAACACAAACATGCTTTGTTTGGGATATAAAGCGCACACAAGACAGTGGTTGGACTTTAGTCCACTCCACACTGAATGCATGTAAACGTATATATATATATATATATACTCAGTTGCACCGGAAGCATGAGTAGCCACTGATCTGGAATTCTTGGGTAGTGACCTCAGGATTTAACCAAGTTTCGGCCAATCCCAATATGTCTGGACGACGAGAGACAATGAAGTTACCTAGAGGAACAAGTATATTCACTAAATCAGATACATTTGCGATGTTTACGCTCAGGCGGCCGTTGGAACCACCGAGCGTGCATGAAGCGTCACTTACCTGTTGATCCGGTTTCGGCGGACCCTTGGAACTACCCGAAGATGTACCATGCATAGATTACTTTCCCCGCTATTGGTATGCCACTCCAACTCAATGATAGCGGATTTTAGTTTCTCTCAGTCTGACGGATTCACATCTTGACGAATACGGATCTTCAAGCCTTTTAGCCTACTGAGGAGGGATAGTATCAGCCTCGGACGCGCGCCATCTGCAAAGCTGACACCTAGTGGCCGAATGTTCCTCTCCACTCATTTTCCAAGATGGGGGATTTGGTTCAACCTCAACCCCTGTTCACCAAGTCACCCATCAATCAGGTTCTGTAAAAATTCGACGTCGTTGTCATAACGAGCCGGAGGATTCGTATCCGTTGACTCAGACGCGTGAAATATCAAAAGGTTGCAACACCGCTGGTCGCTGACACTAGCTGTCTCCTTTTTATTTCGTTGTGGTCGCCATTCGCCTCCTTCGCTTTAGTTATCGCACACAGGGTTGCTAGTGCCAGTCGGACACAACACAGACACAGACAGATAAGCTGAGTCTTCAGAAACAGATGGACATCACCTCGGAGAGCTAGCGGCCAGCAGGGAATTGGGCTCGTCCCGACGTAGAGGTGGCTCAATTTCTGCAACCTTGGATGGACTCGCGAAGCTCCGAGTCATGGAACTTTGCGTCCGTCTTGCTTGCTCACGATATTGCTGAAGATAAAGGTGGTGGCGGTGATGATGATGATGATGATGGTTGTCGTGTTCAAATACTTTGCTTTGTTTTTGCCCTCTATTCGCTTATCCTACGCACACTTCTACTTAGCACTCGTTGATCAATCATGTGACCTTGCTTTTGGTTAGTTGTAATTCGAACCACTATCTATTTAATTGTACTGCGCTTGTACGCAGACATTTTTCTGCATACATACGTTCCGGTGCTGCCCTTGTCTGCTGCTGTTTCGGGATACAACAATGATGCTGATGGTGATGGGGATGATGATGTGGTGATGGGATGATGATGAGCGAAGCAGTGGGTGACTACCACAGGCGGACACCCTACATCCTTCGCTTTCTAGATAGTTGGCGAGCTGTGACCTATCTTATGATACAATGTTCTGGTCATACTTTATCGTAATGAAGAGTCGCACCATGCTGATTGGATAGAGCAAAAGGTACATAATGGAAACACAATTAAGAAGGTGCTCCTTACTCTTCCTCCTAGTCACTTGACCTTAAAACTGCTGGTTTACTCGGTTACCGCCAACACACAGGGTCCCGGTCACATGGGATTGCCAGCTCTGTACCTTTGGTTCGTCTCTCATGGGTACCTACTCAAACCAAATCTATTCATATCCTACTGTGCCATAAGGCATCAATAGTACATCAGCACATCGTTTAGATGATTCTCTGTCACCAGACCACCACCGGTCGAGAGTGGGTTGAGTATACCGAGAGGTCGCCTGCTTCTACACGGATTCAGACCGATTATCTCAGGATTGCAAAACAAGCGTCTAATCCTTCAGGCCACAGGCCGAGCATGGGATAGAACAAAAGCATACCAAACACACGATATATCAGAATGAATAGCTTTAGCGAGGGACGAAGCACAAATCATTTGACAAAACAGAATCCAAAGACTGGAGACAAGCAGTTAAGCAAAAATAAAACAATGCAATCGGCTAATATGTAAGCAGCAAAAAAACGTCACTGTGGATGAGCTGGAAGGCTGCTTGACAATGGCCGTAGGTTGAAATGTAAAATGAGTCCACTAAATGCCATATCCTGAAGAATACGACACATCATAGTGCGACTATGGATAGCAGTGGCGAAAGGCACTTGGGGGTGTTCATTCACTAAATGCGACTGCATATGGGTCATCTAGAACGAGCCCTGTACTCCTTCGTCCGATGTGCGCAACACCAAAGCCCTGAGCCTGTTCTTTGCTTCAGCAAACTTGATGAACTTTCTTCCGAATATCGAGCCCCGATCACCACCGGCTGTCTGTTAACTAATATCGTTTTGGACTTTTGGTCACCTGAGCTAGTTTGTGGCGTTTGGTGCACAAATTCATATGACCGAATGACACAGGGCTCTCGGTTATCGATTGTGGAATCATCCACGGAGTCTTCGATAAAATCTAACCGAGACACCAGCTTGAGTGAGCGGCTTGATTGTGTGGATGTTGCCAGTGAGGCCAACTGATCCGCTGCGTCAAACAGGATGCGCTCCAGTGTGCCGTGAAGAGCTTCTCCAATTCTCTGATCCACTGCTCGAAGCTGAGAAGAGGATGCATCATCCAGTGCACCGTTACCAGTGAAGTTTCGGTTAACTGAGCTTAGTGTGGCGAAACCATATTGTTCAGATTCCGATCTCTCTACCATCTTCCTAGGATCGGGTCTAGGTGAAGGCTGACACGAGAACATCACTGTATCTTTGTGAGATTCCATGGATACCTCCGAAAATTCTGCGTTTTGAGTACCGCCTCCAATAAACAATTGGGTAGCATTCATGGAACCATCGAAACTCTTGCCAGAGCATGAACTGTGCATCCTCAAGCCATCCGGGGGAGCCGATTGCTTGCGGAGGCGCGAATTTTGCGTTACAAACGGAAGGGTTCCAAGGCTTTTAATTTCACAACTCTTAGGTCGCGCACCAAACGTTCTGAGGTACCGTTTACACATATGGTCCAACGCCGAACCAGGGGCACTAGGTCGCTTTGCTCGGGAATCAGCAGATTTATCTAGGTTGCTGGAGGCTACACTGTCGGCAATATACATCTCTATCAATTTTTGCAGATCTTGTACTCCAACTCCACCGGAACTTGGGATCCAGGTTTGTCTCGGCATCGAACATTGCCTAGATTTTCGATTTTGTGTTTTGCTTGGTGCGGCGGTAGATCTAGTGGCGTTAACGCAATGTGTCACCAGGTCCTCTATTGTGGGATAGGTGTTTGCCACATTCGTGCGCGGCGTTGTCCGCCTATTGCACCTCCCTCCATAAATTGGAGTGCAGCCCCCCGAGTGAGATGTTCCTCCATGGTTTTTACAAGTCTGTTGTGCTTCGTTTGCCATGTGCATTGTGTGTGAGATACGTGGTGCATAACCTGACGCGCTCTGGGGTCTGATAGGTCCTCGTAAGTTAATAGAATCACGGCGCCCTTTGGGTGAGTAATGCGTTAGCACCTTAGGCGACTCACACTTACGGCATCTCAAAGGAACCATTGGCTGAAGCGGCGTATTCAGGCAACGTAGTCCGCTAGTACGCTGTATAGTCTTGGACGCATTAGCCTGGAGTCCGAGATTTGTCCGAAACTGTTTGACTCGAGTAGTACTGGACTTTTGACACCTGCGCTTATCTGAAGGAAATGCGGGTGAACTAGCTGCCGTACCCACGGCTCCGTTATTGAGCACGTTTTCGTTCGCAGGTTTAAACTGTCTTAACCGCATGCGATTGCCATCAGACCTGGAGTAAAATGAATGTAAATCGTCGTCACTTTCAACCGACCATTTAGACGGATAGTATCCCGCGTCTATGGTTATGTCGACGACTCTGTGCTGTCTTACCAGGTGCGGTTTCCTGAAACGGCAGGAATGCGATGCAGGGACCAATGGATGCAGTCGCTCCTTAAGGTATGTGGGCTGGTTACTTACAACATGTTGAAGCACACTGCTCCTTTCCACCTGCTCATTGGACGCATGTGAAGCATGATCACCATGCAACTTTAGTGTGTTTATTCCTTCTAGGTTGACGTCAGATGGTACCCCTATGGGAGACGGCGCTTCGGGACGAGTGGATCCCTTCGGTGCACACATATCGCTTAGGTCCGTTGATCCGGTATCATCAGTGGTCTCCTCACTTTCTGATGAAGACGCGTGTTTGGACTCACCCGAGCATGCCACCAAACTGCGCCGCAGATTACAAGCGCGTCTCCTGCGAAATAGCTTCAGGCCAGTTCGGCCAGTCGTACTCAGAAGACCTGGCTGTTCTAGGGTGTACTCTTTATTTAACTTTGGTGTAGTGGTGACCATAAATGGCGCAGCACATGGCCAATACGACCAAGAGTCCGTTCTTCTTACGTATGAAGGCATGAATGTTACCGGGCTACTAAACTCTTGCTGATCATCTGAAGGAGATAAACCCCGTAATGCGCTTCTGTGTAACGTTGCCTCACTAGAATGGGGTGTGTAATTAACATGCGCCATGCTAGTCACTGTACTCTGCACACTTTGTTTTATCTGCTCCTCCATTTGTTGCGAATCCCATGACTTCATATAGGTTGGCTGGTCTTCTAACAGGTTTTGAAAAAACTTGCTCGCATTCATTCGTTCTTGATGGGGGAGATTCGCAAGTTGACCATGGCTGCACATGTCACCGGAATGCAGGGCTGCATTCAAGGTACAGAATTTCAAAAGTTGTAGCTGATGGGTCACAAATGAGTGCTCAGTTAAATCGGTTTGAACTCCGTCATTGATAGTCCGGTGCGTTGGGATCACTTGTGGACTTGTGGAGATTGTGGAACCCATGCTAATTCCTAGTGGATCCGCTAGGCGCACCTCATCAACATTGGGGCGAGCTTCCACAGTTGCCTGCGACGGAGATGCGGATTTGCTTTCAGGTGTGTGGCATTGCTGCAAGTCAGTGACAGGGACAAGAAGCTGCGAGCTAAATGGAGTGCCAAGTCCATCCTGGGTTTCGCAAGTTGAGTTGTATTTCACAAATTCACTACGAGTAGCGACCAACTGCGTGGCGATTACATCGCAGCCAGCAACCCCTCTGGCAAACGTGCGACCTGTAGAGAGCTCAAAATGGTTTCCGCGTTTGCAATCACTCATTTTGAGGAGACGTTTTGGTAGCCGGCTGATTTCTCGCTCTGGATGTGATGAAACCAACGCGGTTTTTTCTTTGGTGCCGCAAGTTGCATTGGGTAAATTTCCCTCTTTCTGTCTTCCGAACGAATGAAACCTGATGGCTGGTGTATCTTGACCAACTGTATTGCAGGTGAGAAAGTCACGTTCCGGACTCCCACCTACCAACTCCTCCAGAGACACGCCACGGAACAAGTCGGACTTGGCAGTTTCGGGCATTTGTTGTATTCTTTCTCTGTATGTTCTTTGCATTAGTGATTGCAACCGCTGCACAACATCACAGTGTAAGCGTGAGGCCGGAGTTGATGGAGTATCCAAGTTTGTGGACACTCTGTCCACCTGCAAAATGGGTGCGTCTTTGTTTTCTTCACAAAGTGGGTTTGGATTTGAGGATGTAGCTGCTATCGGCAATGGTCTAAATGTAGAGACCGCATTTGGTGTAAACAAGACCTCCTGGTTTTCTGATGGAATCACGTTGTGACCGGCCGTGTCGAGAACTCCGAAAGTGGATGGATTATTTCCAGTTCTGTTCCAGAAATTCAGTGACGATTCATTTCTATTTACTCTCCACTTTGATCTACACGGGGGCCGGTTCGAGTAAAAAAGTTGTGAGGACCAGTCAGTCACAAACCTACAGAAACATTGATTGATTTGGCTCCGTCCATGTCCGATTGGTCTGACGTCCACATTTTCTGTTCCCGCTTTAGCGTTTCCTGTAACGCTCATGAAATATTGTACTACACTGTTCTTGAGGTTGGCGCATTTGTGAGCAAAATACCGATTTATTATTTGTGACGGACGAGAGTGAAAATTACCTGTTGCTCTACATCTAACCAGTGCTTTTATCGGTTTACCTTTGACTGAGATTGGGCTGTGAGTATGGTGAGCGTCATGGGGCTTCAACAAAAGTGCCCTGATTCCAAAATTTCCTGTGATCCCCCTCTCAATACATTTCATGAACCTTGTTACACGTTTCAGGTTATAGGTGTACTTGGGAGTATACAATCCGCTTGTTTCTCCAGGTAGTCCTTTCAGTTTTGTGTATCTATTCGCTGTGACGATGTAACGCATTCTATTTTCGGCAGCATGGCGGAGAACTATGTGTGGGTTTAATAAGCTCGTGTGTGGCAGCGTGTTGTAGTTTAAAAGCCCGAAAAATCATCTGTCCTCGAGGTCACGTGCCCTATTTAGCTGGATGTGGCATGACTTAAACCGAATTACAACGATGCAACTTTAAGGAGAGTACTTGCTTCGAGAATTCTTTTCAGGCATTTACAATCATACAAGGAAACCTAGAGCACAAACATTTGATGAAACAAAAAAGAGAATACTGGAATCACGACAGTCAGATACTCAAACGTCTTGATCGAGTAAATCGGCTGTCTTCTCATGTGAGAAATCACGTGTTTGTTGATCGTTGGACTGCGAAGCGCGTCATCCGATGGTTACGGATTGATAGGTATTGGCAAACTATTTAAGGCCGATGCAGAAAAAAGTTGCAGCAAAGCCCATTGTTTGCATAGTTCCTGTTGTGTTATCCTAATTTTGATAGTTTCCTGCCTCCGCAAGGTTTGTTTCCCAAAGCCCATGTGGTACGGTTTCGGAGCGACATAAAGTAGTTTTGAAGGGATCAGCGGTCCCAATTTAGTGTCAGTTTTCGACTAAATGTTCCAGGATGAAACTGACGACTGACGATACCTTTCCGCAAGGCCACTGAGCAGTGCTCCGCTATGTGTTCAGACAGACGCCTTGTTGTGTGTGCAACGTACCTTCGCACCACAGGTGCAAGTAACCTGATAAAGAATGTAAGATTGGGACTAGACCGAAAGTCTGTCTTTGAGACATTGAGTCCTAAAGGTAGCGGTTTCTACAAGGACGTGTGAGTAGGCGGCAGAGAAATTTCGAGCAACTGCAGTGGAAATTTTTCTATTCAGCAGACGAAAAGGAATATCACCTTTGAATGGAACTGGCAGGAACAGATTCTTCTTAGTAACAATTGTAATCACTGACAGGCTATCACGGATCACTGCATGCATTTTGAAGAATGAGACTGGGTAACCCTTTCTTTCAACGTTTTAAGAATGCGGATCTTTTCGACCTCTAATGTCTCTTGGCGACAAATTTCTGCAGTATGAAATTACAATCAGCGGACAAAATTACGTTTGTACATCAACGGTACAAAGTTTAGAAAATGCATACATTGGCCTACCGGAATACACTCCTTGCTAGTGAACCATGTTCATTTTTCCCTAGTAAAAGGTCCAAAAAGGCTAGACTACCATCTTGTCCGATTTTGATGAAACATTTTAACAATGGACAAACCCTGTTTAACTGGCTTAACAGGTTGGAAACAATGAACAATGATTTATCACGGGGAAGAAAGTTGGTGTTTGACAAGTCCCGCAAGATAGTTGCAGTGAAAATATAGATCAAAGGAAAAGTGAATCCTCAGTTTAAGTATCGACACATTTAACTACACTTCGCCATTACGATAGTTTAAAATGAAGATTGAATGAGCGCACACAATGCAATATGGGGAGCTGATATAGTTCACGTAATAGTAAGAAAAAAATAACTAATGGAAATGACAACGTTTACTCTTGTGCAGGTTTCTTGCGTTCACGGGATACGTAAATCCAGCAGTAGCGTTAAACAAATTATGTGTATTAAATTGAAATGTGCAGGTCCATTTGTAGTGCTAGGTTGACGCCCGATTAGAGTGGATTATATGGCCTAATATTAATGTAGCATTGCACCTTCGAGACGTTTTTTGAATACCGTTGGTGTGGGGAAGAAAAAAATTTAAGTGGGGAGGGCGTTTTATGATTGGCACAAGCGAAGTGAAAGGAAATTTCGCTGACAATCCAACCGGCTATACAGTTTGCTCAACTTGAGCTGGTGACCTCTCAGAATAGTATTGTGATTCAAGTTCAGAAGTTGACTACAAGCGTGGTTTGGATTCCTTCGGATCACATACGTCATCATCAAATCACCACGCAGGTCTCGATATTGTCCACTGTAGGGCCCAAGGCTTTTCTACCTCATTTAGTAATGGAGATGAAACAGACCCTGTAGGTTCTTGGTCGCCCTTCGTTATGATCGTTCAAGTACTGTGACGTCGTATTTGTGCAGGGCTGCCAGGCGTGGATGGCGTATTCTGAATGGGTAAAATATAGGCGTCCAGCATCTGCGAGAAGATTGCTGGGTAAAAGCACTCGGAAAACTGTTCATAAAAGATCAAGGTGTTGGTTAAACTTTTCGGACGCTTTCGCGCCCTGACGTAAACAAGCAAAATCCTCTTGTACTATGACACCTAGATCGCATTCAGTAGACGCACGCTGTAAAGCTCGATCCCCCAGACCGTACTCGCAAGTGGATTGACAGAGTATGCTCAAGATCTTAGACATGGCCGAGTTGAAATGAAGCAAGTTCTGATTCGCCAATCTGTGCATTCTATCAAGGTCATGCTGAAGGGTTACGTGGTCACTCGTTGCTTTGATGGTCCGCCATATCTTGAAATCATCAGTGAAGCCTACGAAATTGGATGTGAGCTCTCTTGCATGATCGTTTATGCATATCAGGAATAGGTGTGGACCAAGTACTGAACCCTGTGGCACTCCGGACTGAACATCCACAGGGTCAGAGATGAAGAGGCGAACTCTCAAATTCAGATGTTGTTAAATCCGAAAGTTACTAATTCCATAGCTCTGAAGCTTGTTAATGACCATACGGTGGTCCAGACGGTCGAATGCCTTTGCGAATTTCAGATAGACTTCGTTAACCCCCATACCACAATCTATGTTTACAGACCAACTGAAGTGAGTAAGCGGCAGTTTTGTGATGCGAGACTGGTTCTGACGTAATCCATGCTGTTCTGACGCTATGGACTGGCATCCTTCCAGGTAATTCAAGAACGCGTTTGCAGTAATGCATTCCATGACTCTGGATAGCACTGGAAGGGGTGTTATCGTGCGCTCGTGTTTGAAATGCAGGTTATGAAAGTATCAGTCGTGTACCGACAATGGAAATAGGACGAAGTAATGGTGGGTCGGATAGGTTCATGTTCAATCATAGCGAGCAAAATGTCAGCAGGAAGTGGCTCTCATAGCTAAACCATCGATCCGTCTGTATTAGACTACATCCAATAAAAATTGTCTGTTGATGGTACATGGTAAAATTAATTCCTTCAGTTACCTCACCAGAATACCCACATCCATGTACTTCTCAGTTAACTAATCACTTACAAAATTGACAGTTTCCAACAATGAAAAATTGGTAAAATGTAACTTAACATCTATAAAGAGCAGCAGTTTGTCCTGTACTTCATGCATTCCACTCGTTTCAAAAATTCAAATGTCTTTCACGGTGTAGTGCACAACTCGCTGCGTACTGGTTCTAGCAAACCCACAAGCCATTTCGCAACAAAGTGAGCAGTAGAGGCTGTTATGTCGATTATCAAACGCAGAGAGACTTATGGTTTACGTACTTCAGGCAGTCCATAAAGAGAGGGAGGATGGGAACGAAGTGGATTTAGTCGTTCCAGTGATTCTATATCTATTCGTTCATACGCTTCAGCTCCCACAACAACTGTATGATTTTAAGCCCATCCTGCGTGGTTTTAACAGTCTATATGGTCTCACAATAAACTACTCTTGTCGTGTCATAAGCGATGCCAATCATCTGACGTCTCCGTGATTTGGAGATTTAACGACTATTGCATCAGCAGCATTAAAGGAACAATACCTATACGAGTGCCGATAGAAATCAACCGCTGCTCGTTCAAAGTCGCTTGTAGCAATTTAATCGAACAATATTACCGCTTGTCATCTACTGAGCT